AAATCCGTAAACCGTTTGAAAAAGGAGTAAAATATTGAGCTGGAAAGGGGGGGGGGCAACAAGGAAAAAAATCTCCACATGAACTGCATTGATATGGAAACAAAAGCGTCTATTAATGTGATAAAAGGAGAAAAATATTATGCAACGGATAGCAGCTTTTTCTGTCAAAACAGCGTTGTCCATTTATGATTTTTCCTCTATTTTAGCCCTTCCCTTCTTACTTGAGGGTTCCGCCCCCTTTTCGCTGCGAAGCCCGACCCCCGAGGCGCAGCGCCTTACCCGAAAGGCCGCTTCGCGGCCAGCGAAATCGTCAAAATCGCCCGTTGAGGGTTAATGAGCGGTTAATGACTGTTAATTTTCATTGAATGACAAGACGATGTTTCAAAAACAAAAAAAAAAACAAAAAAACAAAAAAATTCCGCCAAACAATATTCCTAATGACTTCCTCCTTACCCTGAATTTTGATTCCTCCTCTGGAATTCGACCTTTCGACCGTCTTACTCTTCTTCTTTACCCCGTCCGTTAAGCGTCGTAAAAATGATTTTATTAGAATAGAGAGGATATTTGTAATTTGCTCCCTCCCCCCCACCGCCAGATATAAACTATCTTTTTAGGGGTGATTCAGTAAGATTTTCAAGTAAGACAGATTTTTTGGGATAAGCCCGCTCATAGAAGAGGAGCAGGGGATCAAACTTCTATGTCCAAAAACTCATGACCCTTGCTTTCGATGATCACGCAGGACGCTAGGGCTCATGAATTTTCGGACTTACGCCGCCATCTAACAGAAACTGATTCAATTTTTGAACGGCTCACCAAATTCAGTTGAACTTTTTTTTTTTAAATGAAAGATCTCAAAGAGATCTATCTGTATGTGTATGTACAGTGTACACGCTATAAAAGTAGAAAAAACAATCAACTTAGTGCGAATTGAAAGCAATTTTTATATGTTCTGGAGTTCAGAAAGTATAATTCTGCCATTTTTCGGTATCGCGTAATGATTCTAGTAAAAAAATCTGTTTTCCCTTGGTCTTACACCCCTGTCCATGAAGGGGGGCCTATAACCAAAAAAACTGCCATATCTGAACGTCTATTATGATACCGTGCCACGTCTATTATGATACCGTGCCACGTCTATTATGATACCGTGCCACGTCTATTATGATACCGTGCCACGTCTATTATGATACCGTGCCACGTCTATTATGATACCGTGCCACCCCTAAAAAGATGTAGCAATCTAAGACTCTAAGGGAGACGGAACAATCTCTTCATAGTGTGACAGAATAAACGTCAAAATTCATTATTTTAATCGACGATTCTTTTTGGCAACATGTGATGTGATTTATTTTATGTGACTTGGTTCCTTTTCGCTCAACGCGGTCTAAATAAGACAAACGGAACCAACACAATATGGAAGTAGAGTGCAGGCCAGGACTCGCGTTGATGACGGCGCAGAGATACAACTATTCGTGCTTGATGGATGTCCGTGTTGTATCTGCAAAATTGAAGGCGCGATGGCGCGAGGCGTGAACTAACAATGATTCCCTTCATGATGCCTATGAGGTGTGTCGCTTCGATTCGTAACGGAGCCATTTCTCTGACGGAAAATGATTTTTATTCATTTATTTGATTATTAATTTAAGGGCATTCTTATTTCTATGTAAGAATTGTGAAGATCAACGATTCTTCGTTCCTCGTGATAAGTCGCAGGCAATTAGTCAAATAAGCATTTTACCGAATTCCTAAGGCGATAGTTAACTTTTGACTGTTTACGAAAATATTATAAATTTATGGCGATGAGCTCGCGAGAAAAATAGGTGTGAAAATTTTGAAACATCGCTATGGAGCTACGTGGTTTCGCACTTTGGCTGTGGATATTCTTCCACAGCTTGGCGTGTTTTCGTAATACACTCTTATTCCCGATTTTTGACCCCATCCCCCTCCCTCTCTCTAGTAACGCACCCGTAACGCTGCAACCATACTTTTGAATTACGGAACACTGGCCTGACCCTTCACCTAATTTTAAAAAAATCAAGGAAACGCTGAAAATTATCTATTCCTGGTCGTTTAAATCAATTTAATTTTACAATTAATCGGTCGTTAGTTCATTTTCGTCAAAGTTCAGAAATCTGTGGAATTAATCACAGATTTACACCTTTTCTACCGTGCCAAGGAAGATCGCCGTATGAACATACGAGGTTTGCCAAATTGCCCTTGATAAAACATGTATTTCGGTCAAAATTCATGCATATTTTTCCTTGAAATTTTCAGGCATTTTAGATTCAATCGCGAATAATATTATCTGAAAATTTTGAGGGAAGATATTCGAAATTTTCTCAGTTACTTCCATTTTTATTAAAGGAAATATGACAATGTCTGGAGGTTAATAGGGAGTTCTTCCTTAGCAGGGCAGTATTATAGTTGAAGTTGTTTTTAAGCCAGAGCATTGCAGCTATTTAGCTGTATTTTTTTAGCGCGTAACAGACCCATTTCACTGACGGGAAAATGATTTTGTTGCAGGGTGACAAGAAGCGTCCTGATCGGGCGGTTCGCGAGGCGTTCCGCGGGCTCCCTCCGCCCCCCTCACCCCCCCCCCCCCCCCCCCCNGTTGGCGGGGCTAAGCTCTGAGCAGGAAAAGGAGCCGTGCTGGGAGGATGCAGTGAATAGATGGGAGTGAACTCGGACGAGAACTAGGTCACGGGAGTACGCGCGTCGCCCCCCGGTCCCCCTCCCGCCCCCCGGAGGGTTGAGACGGGGTTGTCGCTCCGGCCAAGGGTTCAACCTCTCCACGTGAACGCAGCGACCGAAGGTGAGTTCCCCTCCCAGTTTCCGCTTCCGGCTTCTCCAAGAAGATCGTCCGCGGATTTTTATTTAATTTTTCTATTTATTTTTCTTTTTGAGGGGGGGGGCATGGGTGTATGCGTGGTTATTTTTCTTTTTTGACAAACAAGAAATCGAAATTCCGAAATAAAGGAAAACACTTACTCAGACGGATCGCATTTAGCAAAAAGGAACCAGCGTGATAACAATGTTGTCAAAATGTTGCTTCATTATAATGGAGATGTTGCACGTGTGAGGAATTTGCGATTCGACTGTTGATTCTTATGTTAAAGTTCGCGAGAAACGCGATGGTGCCACTGGTTTTTTCTGAAATCAACTCCCAAACTCAAAAAAAGCTCTCGAGTTGAGGCCAAAATGGAAGGGATATCCCACGCTATCCTGAGAGTCCACCTCTACATCAAGACAAACTCTTCATGCAAAGATAGGGAGCAAATACAGTTGTTAACAGTTGTTAATTTTAAAGGAAAATAAGAGTGTAAATTTTAATACTGCATACTTGTCATATATTTATTAAAAGAAAAATAGAAGTTGTGCGACTTTGGAATATTGAAATCGCGCTGGTTCCTTTTTGCTGAAAACTATCCAGATTATCCCTCGTATTAGGCGGAACCTTCTTTATGGTTTACGACTTTACGCATGGTCTATTCCATGGTTTAGCACCTTGTCTGATGGCACATTGCTTAATTTTTTGTTCGTCAGTCATCATTCGGCGTATCTACGGGCTGATTATTGAAATTGATAGACAAAACTAAAAAGGAAAAACTAAAGGGAAAATAGTGCGATCCTATTTGTTGAAACTAGTGGTTGTCATAGACTAAGGGAGAAGATACAAATATGATTGACTGACTTTAGGGTCTCTTCTAGGAAGCCGTTAGTTGTTCTATTACTTACCTCCTGTGTCCTCTGCAACTATCCGCTTTCACCAACAAAATTGCCCTATTTTTCCTTTGTCTTCTTTGTCTATCGTTTTCACTATCAATTTCAACAATCAGCCCGCTGAGTATTAACTTCTATAAGCATCTTTTACGCAGTACAGTAGATAGCAACGCGGGGTCTTATATGTAAATATTTTCTCAGTTTAAGTCCTTCAAAATAGAAGCTCTAAATGGGACGCTCCATCGAAATTCGCACTAGTTACTATATTGTGTATCGCTTCATTTTGAGCTGTCATTTTAATCATAATGATACGGATTTGCTCTGCCGTGATAAGGAAAATCACTGAATAAGCCTTGGGATGATTTCAAATTTCGTTGATAAGACATGAATTTTTCGGGAAACCTGCAAACACTTTTCTTTCAATTTTTCAGAGAATTGTGTTCACAATTAAATCTACAGTATATGAGAATTTCAAGGATAAATATTCACAATTTTTATAGAAGTTGAATCTTTTACTTGGGGAAAATTGGCGTTTTTGAATACTTGTTCGGCATTTTTCCTCAACACAGCTTTACCCTGTCGTGCTAAGGAAAAACACCATATAAACATACAAGCGTTGCCAAATTTCCTTTTATAAAACGCGAATTTCTGGGTAAACTTATCGATAATTTTTCTTCAATTTTTCATGTAATTTTGTCTGCAATTCCCTCTTAAGTCCCTGAAAGTATTACGGAGACAAATTCATATTTTTAACACAAAAATAAATATTTTATGAAACGAAATTTGGCAACCCTCGAATGTTCATAAAGCGTTTTTCTTTAGCACGGTAGTGCTGGCCCACTAACATCGATTGAATGAAAATCGATGAAGTCACCCACGCTCGAGACGAATTTTGAAAGTCCTCAAAACATGAATAAATGCTGGAATTTCCTCAATTTTCTTCGCGGAAACCACGCTTTCTCCTGGTTTAATTAATGATGCCAGAGAGTGTCGGTGCTCGAAATAGAACAGCGCCTCGTCTCGGTGTTCTAAAGTTTCATGGAACAGAAAGGTATTGAGTGGAAGATGCCGGAGAAGCCTCCGAAAGTGACTTTAGAAAGAGAATTATTTGATTTTCACATCTCTCCCGTGGATTTCGCGAATTCGGGGTTTCTACGGGGCGAGGAGTGACATGTGAGGGTCTCGCGATGGAACAGAAAAGGATGAATTTTAGCAGGGATGTTTTTGATGAATTCTATCGTCATTAAGGTAATTCGATGGACGCCATATTTTGTGTCAGAACGGTATGCGATGTATTGCATCAATTGGTTCCATTTTTTCAGCCACTCGTCATTTTTCTCCAATTTTGAGATAGCAATTCTGCTGTCAGGAGACCAAAGCACTCACTTACCAATTTTAACAAAGAAATTCAACGTAATAAAGGCGTGGTTTTTTTCGAGAGAAAACATCGCATTCGATACTTATATCGAAACTGCACTCGAATGCTATATTTTCTCTCTGCTGAACGCATCTCACTGGGTGCGCAGGACAAGCCAAAACGCCTTCAATTTTTGCGTATGCAACGCAGACAACTCCGGAACACGAATAGTTGTATGCAGGCGCTATACATCCTACATCCATTGTTATGCCTCCTGTTTCTATGAATCAGGTATTGTAGGTTAACGACCTGTTTTGCCGCGAGTGTAAATATTGGTCAGTGGGTTATTGTATCAATATTACGGATCAATGACCTTACCATCCTAGGTTTGAAGGATCGATATGCCATTATGTCAGCTGAATTCAAGGGTCACTTTTATGTGACTCAAGTAGGTCAGTGAGTCAAAGAAACTACGAACGCTTTCAAAAGAATAAAATTGAAGGCAAATGACGTAATGGGCTTTAATTTCAAAATTTGTCACTGAATGAGAATGATTCAAAAAGAATGAAAGTGAAGGTAAATGAGTTAGTTTTAATAATTGGTCACTGTGTTACGGGCTGAATTAAAGGTTAACGACCTGCCTTATCAGTGTAAAAAATTGGCAAGTAGGTTATTGTACCAAAATTGACGCCAGAGTCATTTAAGGATCAATTACCTTTCAGTCTTTGGTTTGAACCGACTTAAGTGTGTTTCGATGGACGCCATATTTTGTGTCAGAACGGCATGCGATGTATCGCATCGATTAGTTCCATTTTTTCAACTACTCGTCATTTTTCTCAAATTTTGAGATCGTAATTCTGTTGCCAGTACACTGAAGAATTCACTTGCCAATTTTGACAAACAAATCCAACGGACTAAAGGCGTGGTTTTTTCAGAGGAAAAATATCGCATTCGAGTGCAGTTTCGATATCAGTATCGAAAGCGATATTTTCTCTCTAAAAAAACCACACATTCATTAGTAAGATTGAATTAAAAGTATTTTTTCCTTGTCAATGTTTTCAAGAGTCTGAACTTTAGATCCAATGTGTTTTTTTTTTCTTCTTTTTTTTCCAGTTCGTCACATCTATCTTCGATTTTGAAGTAAGATTATACTGAGAAAACGATTCGTAAAATGGGAGGTTCGGAAATCAACTCTTGAAAGAAATATCAACGAGTATTTTCAATACAGAGCATATGGAAGTTAGATTTTACAAAAATGGATTCCTTCGTATTTTTATCTGAACCACTATCATTTGTAAACACTTTCATCTTTACATCAATTTAGGAGTCGATTTCCTAACTTCCCGTTGTGTGATCCGTTTTCACCATGATTTTCCGAAGAGAAAATATCGTCACCTTCCGGCCAAAGTATCAAAAGCGCCATGCGGCGTTTCAAAATTTCCGCCTCATTTTATTTTCTACAGAGAAATTGTTGGTGGAATCTGTTTGAAAATGTCACTGAATTTTATCAACGGCACAAAGAAAATGCAGTGAACTTTTCGGACAGCTTCGGCGAACGATTTCTCTGTAAGAAAATAAAATGGTGGCGGAAATTTTGAAACGTCGCATAACGCTTGTAATACTTTGGCCGGGAGATGACGATGACGAGATATTTTCAAGTATTTTTCATACAGAGCCTGCAAATGTCAATTCGATCATACAAACTGATATTATTCGTATTTCTTTCATTTAACCAATATTATTTGTAAACATTTTCATCTTCACATCAATTTAGGAGTTGATTTGCCGTTGTAGGTTCAATTTTCTTCATGATTTTTTGAAGAGAAAATACGTTGCGCAGCGCTTCAACGCATACCTTGTCTAGTGGCTCTGTTTGAAAGAAAAATAAATACGTAGTGTGAAAACTTATAATAGTTTTTTCGCGGTATTATACAGAGCATGTATGTAAAGACAAAGTGGATGATAAAATCGACGCTTCATTTCCACTTCAAAGAAATCGGTAAGATAGAAGATGGAAGAATATTGAAATTGACGGCACCATAAAACCAGACTTGATTTAATTACGCGAGACGTAGTGGAAATTCGCATCCTCTCGTGTACCTCATTACAGGAGGAAGGCACGGGGTTTTTCATAACTTCCGATCTAGAATTCTAGATGCATCACGGCATTCACGGCTGCTTTGATGTCGTTTCTCGCTCATGTATTGATCTTCGCGTGTCGGCAGGAAGCTACTTCAACTCAATTCCTAACCAAGAAACCACGTGCTATATTTTGCGTCCTCGCTGACGTAGAGTTCACATCGTAAATTTTTCATCGTTCAATCAGTGAACTATAAACATACTTTTCCCTTTTTAAAAAAAGGGTGCGAATATGTTGAGTGAAGGTGAAAGCCTCCACTCGAAGATGATAGGAACTCTTCCTCCCATTTGCGCTAAATTTGTTTTTGCTACGATTTTATAATCGCATGATTTTACCTGCATGGAAAAAGGTGTACCCAGAGATATAATGCATCATAGAGAAAAAAAGGAGGTGTTTGCATTTCGGGCATCTTGGAATTTTTTTGATGACGTAGGTCGGTACAGCGACGTTTATCAGCGATTTTTTTTGGAAATGGTGTAATTTATGGAAAAAATCATTCTATAAAAAGTACTTGAAATTATATCATGAGTTGATTTAAGTAAACAAATCGGACATTATGGTCCGTTTTTCATAATTCGAATTCCGGATTTCGCTG